CAAATCTAGGCTTTAAATCTCTAATAACCTCAAGGGGAAAGAGTTTGACCAAATCTGAAAATATTTGGATCCAAGGTTTTAACTAATTAAATTGAAAACCAATTGGTAAAAATGCTTAATCTTACCTTTAGAATAGTTCCCAAGATTGGATCTAGCTTAAATTGGCTCTAAATGCCATTTGGGGGCTTAAGGTTTCATATGGGGTAAAGAGAGAAAAAGAAAGAAAAAGAAAAACAGTTGAGATAAAGAAATAGGGCGGAATGGCCTAAAACCCTTTTTTATTTTTTATTCTTTCTTTCTGATGTATCGTTACATTTTGCAATATATTGATACATCTACCCTAATGTCGAATAAACGTATTGATACATTGAGGCAATGTATCGATACATTGAGGGTAGAATGGCCCTAGGTGCTCTCTGCTTCAAATGTATCGATACATATTCATCCTTTGTCAAATCTATTGATACATCTATAAATGTATCGATAGAATTCCTCTAGAACACCTCATATTGTTCTTCATACCAAAAATGTATCGATACATAAGGGAATGTATCGATACATTTTCCTTTATAGGCAATTTTAAGTTTCCCAAACTTCCAAAAAATCCAACTTAACACCCAAAAATCCATTCCTTGTTAATCTTATACCTCAAATAACTTATATAATTCAAAATCCTCATACATATATCCTCAAACATGCATCAAAATTTATCAAATCCTCAATCTATAGGATTAATTCATCATTTTCATCAATTTTCACCTTAATGGCATACTTTTATGTCAAAATGCCAAACATCTGCACAATTTCATTAAGGATCTTAATTTACCCCCATATTCATAGTCATTTATTTCTAAACATAATCATATTTATCAACACGTAAAAAAAAAAAAAGAAACTCCTCAAGTCACTTGGCCAACATCACATATAGGTGTAAAAAAAATCATGGGTGTTACAATGCTTCACTTTACATACTAAAATATTTTTGAAAGTAGTGTATCCATTTACCTATTCAAAGACTCAACTTCTATCAAGCCAAGCTTTACCCTAGTGAATTCCTTGAAGTTTCTATAGCACCTAAAGCATTCACAAATCATTGTAATCAATACTTAGGCTGTGAATCACATAATACTCATCTTAAGATATTTTGAAACTAGTCGAGTTCATCTAAAACTAATTCTTTCTAACTTAAAACTCACTATTTTGCAACTACCTAAAGTTGAAAAATTCTTAAACGCATTTCTCCTTACGTTGGGTGAGCTTTGATGCTAAGAGAAACAAAAAAATCCTCCACTTTGAAAGATTAATGAAATTTAAAAAAATATGTAACATTTTTCAAAATTGGAAATCAAAGATTTAAAGGTCTAAAGACTTGAAACATGTCACCTTATTGATTAAAACTCAAAACCAAGCTTCAAATTTTTAAAAAATGGTATTTGTTTGAGAAAAAGAGTCAAAAAGTTGCTGGGTGCTGAGCGAAAATAAGGAAAAATGGCAGAGGATAAGAAACGCTAAAAAAATTGAACCCTACTTATAGTGGGAAATGTTAAAATTTGCTTTTTACCCATTTTATTTTTGAAGTATGATGTTGAAGTATCGATGCTTTAAGCTTAAGTATCGATACTTTTGAAATAAAATGGTTTTCTTGGAGAGCCTCGACAAAAAGTGACTTGTTCATGCAATGTCGAGACACAATTTTTCCAAAAAAGTATCAATACTCTAATGAAAGTATTGATACTTTTTTGAAAAATTGTGTGTCTTGACACTACATGAACAAGTGCCAAGACCTGTTCGTCATAAACTATTTCTGGGCTTCAATTATTGATACTTGATGAACAAGTATCAATACTTTTGATATAGAATGGTATTTTCAAGTTAAAAACCAAACCTTTTGTCTCTCTTTAAGTCTCCACTTTCCAATAATTTCATTTAGGAACACATGCTACATATTTCTAAGTAAAAAAAATGCTTAAAATCATTTATGAAAAACTTTTAAATCATTATCTCAACTAAGGATGTCTTAATCTAATTTCCAATGCAAGTTGGGGGTTTCACTGTGATAACTCTATTATATAGAGTTATCTTATGTATCTTTGGAACCTAAAATTGACCTAAGCCTTTTTTTTTTTAAGTAATATATAGGTAATTTTATGCTTAGTGATAGTAATTTAATTTAAGTCATGGCATTTATCACTTGTGCAATTTCAATGAATTTTTTGTTAAAATCTCTCATTTCAACCTCTAATTAATTGATTGGAACTCAAATGGCAAAGGATGGTGCAAGTAGCTTAAGAAAGGCCTCTGAACACACTGCAATATTTTGAACATAACTCGATCTACAAAACTTCAATCGACACGATTTTATACTTACGGAAAAACAAGAGCAAGAGATACAACTTTGATGTTTAGTACTTCACCCAATTCAGAAGGGATCATGGTAAAAAATGCAGAGGAAGTTGATTGACTGCAGCAGATTGCAGCTAGTGTTGACAGAAGCTTGGACGCTTAGGCCCCGAATGCACTATCCAGTATATTAAAAAAGCTACAAAATAGAACCTTTGGCACTTAGGCGCCAACACGTAATTTTGCTTATTTTTGGCTATTCAATTTTACATTAAGTGGCCATCAAAAAGGGTATAAATACAATTATCTTTTAAGACTGAAGGGGAGACTTTGGAGGAGCAACTTTAGAGGCAAAAAGAGCTTTCCACAAGGAGAAAAGAAAAGGAAAAATCTTGAAAAAAAGCTTGGCAAAGTTGTAGCAAATATAGTTTTCTCTCATTAGCTTATTTTTCTCTTTTTAAATCTCCTCGCATAAATGTTTAGTTTTGCTGAAATTTTGTTGTGAGCTATTGAAATGTTAAACTAAACTTCCATTCCTAGGATTCTGGTAGATATTAATGTATAGTTTGGATGCTTGATTGACTATTCTTGTTTTATGGAATATTTTGTGTTTATTCAGATCTATACTTATTTTCCATTTTATTGACTAATCACCAATAGAATGTGTGTAGGTTTTTGGATAATACTTGATAAAGTTAGTTTAAAAAGACCATGGTTTGGGTAGCATATGATCATTGCAATCAGAAAGCAACTAGGTGATCTATTAATAGGGTAGGCATACACCTATTAACCATACATAGTCAATTTATAAGACCTATACTTAAGGAACTTAGCTTAATTAATTAGCTATAGACATATAGAAAATTAAATTAAGTTAGTTCATTATACGATATCTCGATAGAGAATTGTACATGCTTAAGGATCCTTGACTAGCATTAATTTTTCATAAAAGTAGGTAATTAGTCAATCTTAAGTCCAAATGAAACGTTAATTGCAACCATAATCTTGGGTACTTCCCCACTATTTTCCAACTCAATTTACTTGCATTTATTTTAGCTTAGTTCACTAGTTTAGCCTTGCTACTTTAATTTTTTTTATTTACAATTAATTTCTATACTAGATTTCCTTAGATAAGATTAGATTGCCCAATATTAGTTATTAGCAAGAATTTAGACATAATTCTTTGTGGAGACGATAACTTACTGACAACTATATTACTTATTAACTATATACATTTGCATGATGTTTTGCTAATTTGATAAAAGTTTTAAAGCAAATTGTCTTGATAAATTAGCAAGCAACACACAACACAAAATAACATGTTGATATTCTAAATGATATTGCGAATGCATGAATATAAATTGCTATTGTATGTAGAAAAGTAAGACCCTTACTTGGGTCTAGTGGGTTAGCCCCATTTAGGTATTTGCGTTAATCATATCTTCTGGAATGGGATGTAACACGATACAACAATAATTTCTTTATAATTTATAGATTTAATTATGAATTAAATTAAAAGTATATGAATTTGACTGTGCGTAATAAAATAATAAAAATTTATTTAAATTTTTTAAAATAATTTTAATTTTTTTCAGATATTATGCTTAAATTTTACCATTAGATTTATTCAATAATTATATATCCAGTTACAAAAAGAAAGTGATGAGACAAGAAACATTACTTTCTAATTTTTTTAGTAACAAATTGCTAAAAATAGAATTTCTTATTCCAAGAGAAATAAAAATTTCTCATTTTTTAGTAATAAATTGCTAGAAATAGAATTTACTATTCCAAGAGAAATAGAGAGGATAAAATTTCAAAGATCCAAAACGGCTACAAAGGAAAAAGGAAGAATAGAACTGGGAAAAAGTGGGTGGCTTTGAAAAATGGGAAGAAAGTTGGCAGTGGATCAAGACAGCAAAAGAGGAGATTGGGATGATCTCAACGTCACGCTTTCTCTGCCCTTTCTTTCTCTCTCTTATTCTTTGAAAAAGAATACATCAATTGTTAAAGAAATGTGAACGATGACTTTGATTAATTAATTATTTCATCGATTTTTTTTAAAAAATAATAAAATATTTTTTTTAGAATAGAGTTTTGTTAACTAATTTCTTTTATTTAACTGTATTCTTTACAAGACTAGTTCAAATATTTTTATATTAAATATAATAATTAATAACTAATTTAATAATTTCGAGTAAATTGCATATGTGATATTTAACATTTTATTTCAGTTTCATTTTCAATATTTAATCTATGAATTGTTTTTATTTGGATCCCTAACTTTTGAAAATAATTTCATTTTAATCTTTTTATCAAATTATCTTCTAAAATTGACATAATAGCTACATTTGTGGCACGTTACATTAATATTATTAGCATTTTGTGTAAATATTTTATCAAATGTTAACAAAAGTAACGTGAGAAAAAAATCAAAATAAAATTTTTTTAAAAGGTAAAAAATTAAAATAAAATAATTTAAAAATTATAAAAAAATATGTTTAAAATACTTATTAGAAAAAGATATTCAAAATAAAATAATTTCTCTTTCTTTTCTCCTGCTTCTGAAGCAGTACTAATTTTTTTAAAATTTATTTTATTATATTATTTATCTGCTGTACACTACATGTAGTGACCAACTCATTACATGTACGATTAAAAAGTCAAGAAATAGATTAATTCTTTAGATATATTTTATTTTATTTTATCTTCCTCTTTCCCATAAGCCTTCCTTGTTAGGGTTTTCCCTTTTCTTTAGCTCTTCTCCTTTTCTCTCGTTTTCTTGTCTTGCTTAGTTCCTCAAAATTTACACTTCGTTTGTTCCAGCTGAACTAGCTACTTCTTCTTAGTTGGAGCTGTATGCAATCGTTGGTGCTTTGAATTTCAACTTTAAAGAAAAAGCCAGGTTAGCTTACTTCAGGGATTTGGTTTTTTTCCCCTTTTTGTGATTGAAACTCAATTGTTTTGCTATTTGGTTTGTATTCAGATTTGGATTTTGGCTTTTTTTTTCTTTTATCTTTCTGGGTTGTTTTTATTTTTGTGTTGCAAAATTGTACGGACTAGTAGGTGAAGATGATGGAATGCTTCTTGTTTTTGGTTTGAGAATTTTGATTATAATATAGCTTATGAATTTCTTTTGGGTAACTTTATCTGAGTTATTGGGCGTATTTGGCTGACTCAATGGAAGAAATTGAAGGGGTGGAAGTGGAGATTGTTGTAAAAGGATAAAAAAGGGGAGGTGGTGGAGGATGATGATGGTTCGTGATGATTGATGGGCAGTAGAACAGTGAATATTGGTATAGAAAATGATAAGAAAGCTGTAACAGCGATGCCAAGCTACGTTCCTTCAGTACCCACTTCCAATCCCAGGTATTTGTTCATTTTTTCAAAATTGGCTTTGTTCTGAGTTTTAAATTTGTTTTGATTTTCTATTGTTTCAGAGCTTTCTGTTAACTGTTTTGAAGTGAAAATTTTTGATGGGAGGAGGAATATTCAAGGCTTTTATGCTTGTTATAATTGTAGGCCATTAATATTCCTAAGGGGTTGAGTCAGGGAGTTAATATATTGTTTTGTTGTCATCTATGTTGTTGATTTCTCATTTGTGTCTCTGGGGAAAGAATGGTATTATATTGATTGAAAGGTTTGCATTATGTGATAAAGAGCTGTTGTATTTTCCCTCTGTAGGTAGTTTGGTTGTATGGTTATATTTGATAATTGCCTATCTGTGGATGCTCTTAAAGTTAGAACTTGTAAGCACCCATATTAAGCTGAAAGCATGTGGAATCTTTTTATGAATATGCTGGTTGACTTCTGTTCTACATTGTTTTTTGGTTTATTAACTTCTGTTTCCTGATGGTATTATACTTATGGCAAGTTTCAAAAATCAGTACTGTTTCAGAGTGTGAGAATTTGTCGCTTTTTTTTTGAGTTAGAGTTTGATCAAAAAATGCTAACTTGTCTTGATAAGAGGTTGATCAAACTATGATCCAGAAACTGGAATGCTGAACATTTTGTATTGATATGATCGTGAGAATGTGTGGTCGGCCTCATTATGATAAATAGAGGCTGTTTAAGAATGTAGATGTTTTGTTGTGCCATGTTACACATTATGGAATATTCCTATTTAGCTTTTTCTTCTTGGCTTGGGAAGATGGACTTGATCTTTTACTTATTGGATTATATTGCTTCACTTTAGAACATGTGGTTTTGATGACTTATTTCAGCAGCACAGAGGCAAACACCATTCGTTCTTCTCGAATACCAGACTTAGGAACCCTTGAGCAATCTCTTGGATTTCGCATCGAGGATGCTGTTGATCTTACCAGAAGTATGTAGTGATGGTCTTCAATTTTCTAGTAACAGACATATGCAAGAATTTCATTTTTCATTTCATGGAAATTTTCTTTTCTTTTTTCTTCTGTTTTATTATTTCAACTCAAGGATGTAGCTTTCTACAAATGTGATTGCCAAAAAGCATAAAATTGAGGGTAAGGTGAGGAAAGCGATTCATAAACCAAACATTTTCAGGATTTCTCCTGTGGCAGTGTGGCTTTGCTATTGAAGTTGCCATCATATTGCAGTGCTCATTTTTCTTGTTATGAAATTGAAGTTATTTGTGGATTTAGTGTTTTTTTTCTTCTTCTTTTCTTAAGGGACCTTATTTTGACATATATATTTGATGAACAATGTTTTGTCTTTAGATCCTCTATTTAATCAAATAAAGTCAAGTACCCAGGCAATAGCTGATGCTCAATTTGGTGCTATAAATAAGGTGGGCAGTTATCTCCAATAAAAAGTTGTGTTTGTGCGTCAAACTTTTAACATAAATTTAGTTACTTAGAATTCTCTGTGTCTGTTCGTGTTTGGGTGTGGGGATGAAGACACTTGCATCTGCAGACAACAACCTCTCTGCTGCCATTGTGGGGTCACAAACATTAACGCTTAAAAAAGATACCCCACCTAATCTTGTATCTATATCAGCCGGTCGGGAGAATTGGGGGGATTCCAATATGGCAGATGCCAGTCCTAGAACTGATATTTCAACAGATGACACTGATGAGAAAAATCAAACGGTGATGCCTCTTAACTTTGATTTCATGTATAAAATTCTATGTTTACAATGCATTAGTGAAACACTTTTGCTTCTTTGGGTTTTAATTTTCATTTAAACTTATGGATTTCAGAAGTTACCTTTTCTTTCATCATTGAGAAATAAAAAAGAAAAGAAAAATTGCATGTGTAGCACACACACGAACATACGCACAGACATAGTGCTGGAGAATTTGCCTGTTGGCTAATAGTTATTGTGAATGCACCAACCTTTGTGCAGTTTGAAAGAGGTCAAACAAATGCTATTGTGGCCTCTGATTCTAGCGACAGATCAAAAGATAAAACAGATCAGAAGGTCAGAGTTTTTTTAATTAGAAGAACTAGAATATTTATTGTTAAAGTAGTTTATTCATATACTATCATGTTGAACATATTATTTCTCCTTCTCAATGGCTACTTTGCAGACATTGCGTAGGCTTGCACAAAATCGTGAGGCTGCAAGAAAGAGCCGGTTGAGGAAAAAGGTATCTCGTTCATGACTTGGTTTAGTCTTTTCAATTTTACCATTTTTTTATACTCAAGCTTTTATGATATTCTAGTGGCAATTATCTAGCAGTGTCCGGTTCCTTTGAGTCTTATTATAAATTAAATCTAGTGGTAATTTATAAAATCCATTGTAAAGTTGTGTAGCAGGTACACACTTATGTCACACCTTTAACTTCTATTGGTTGCCCCTCTCAGACACTATAGAAATTGGAAAAACATAATTTTGTCCAGATGAACGCAAGTAATTTCCTCAGGGAAAGTTTTTGGTTGGAAATATGAGGAAACTATGTTGCTGACGCTTTATTTTTCTTAGAGTATCCTTGTCTGAAAAATATTTGACGGACATGGATATGGAGGTCTGACCCTCCAAATAAAAGGAAAGACTTAAAGAAAAAAATAAAATTAAATGTGCCCATGTCAGAGACGTACCCAATCTGACACACAAGCCCTAGTCTGAGTAACAAAGGAAGAAAGTGCAGAATGGCAATCAGTTTATGTTTTTTTTTCCCCAGCAATTAAAGCTCAGTTTGCAGAATTTATTAGCATATTCCTTAATTGTTAACCATTCTTCTGCTATCGAAATCTAGGCATATGTGCAGCAGCTTGAGAGTAGCCGACTGAAACTGACTCAACTTGAGCAAGAGCTGCAGAGAGCTCGTCAGCAGGTTTGCTTTGTGTTAATCCCATCAATATTGTGATGTATCATTTACATTTTTCGATGTTCAGGCTGATAATACTGTCCATTATGCCTCACATATCCTTTTTTTTTTCTGTCGCTTCTTTCACTGCAGGGCATATTTATTTCAAGCTCAGGAGATCAATCCCATTCAATGAGTGGAAATGGTATCTAAGCTTTATTAGTCTTTCCTACCGGTCAATTTCATAGTTGAAATTGGAAAATCGATTTTGGTGATTTGTTGCTAGGGTCTTGGAATTCAAGTTTATTGTGTTGTGAGTTTGTTGAAAGGGTTCATTAAATAGCCATACATGTGTGGATATTGTGTGATTACTGACAAATGGAAAACAAGGTACAGAAGGTACCGTTTCTGCTTGTGTTAGACGTCCAGGAGTACCATGTCAGGGTATTGAATTCAAGGGACAGAGTTCATCACTTTAAAAGAGTTTCAAATGCTGTTCTAGCTTGGGGGTCTGTTGTAGATATAGTTGCTCTGTTTCTTGCTTTGGTCTTCAGGGTATTAAGGTCTAATATTGTTGGATAGATGTTTTTTACTGCTGAATTTTTATTGTCAATAAAATTTGATGCCATTGTTTGGCTTGGCCTGAACATGAAGTGATTGTTGGTTTCTTCTTTCTTAAATTTGGCTTCCATATGTGAGAACATTATTGCCCTTACTTTTTCTGTTGTTGCTATGTGATACTGAATTATGTTTTTATGGTTTTTCCCTTCTCTTCCCTTTTTTACTTTGAGACAGAACTAAAATTAAAAGGAAGCGGTTTTAATCTTTTCATTTTTTAGCGTTTGTGATTTTGAACTCTCTATCTACCGATGTATCTACCATGCTAAGATATTCTTTTTCTATTGTTGCTATGTGGTAGTGAATTATGTTTTTATGGTTTGTCCCTTCTCTTCCCTTTTTTTCTTTGAGACAGAGAACTAAAATTAAAAGGAAGCGGTTTTAATCTTTTCATTTTTTAGTGTCTGTGATTTTGAGCTCACTATCTACCAATGTATCTACCATGCTAAGATATTGTTTTTATGAACTGCTGGCACAGGTGCCCTGGCATTTGATGTTGAGTATGCACGGTGGCTGGAGGAGCACAATAGGCAGATAAATGAGTTAAGGGCTGCAGTCAATTCACATGCTGGTGACACCGAACTTCGCACCATTGTTGACAACGTCACAGCACATTTTGATGACATTTTCAGGTTGAAAGGCATTGCTGCAAAAGCTGATGTTTTCCATATCTTATCAGGAATGTGGAAAACACCTGCAGAGCGGTGTTTTCTGTGGATTGGTGGCTTCCGCTCATCTGAGCTTCTTAAGGTGAGCTCCAGTCTTTTTCTACAGAGGGACTGCTGTCATGGTGCATGCTAGGTTTCAATACTTGGTTGCCTCAGAAAGTGGTCCATCAGAATTTACATATCTTAACTTTATTGGAGTTAGATTTATTACTAATTTGCTGGTTTTTGAATCTGAATATTGACTAAGGAAAATATCTGGGGCTTTGGTTGTTGCATTTACTTTTTGTTATTTGCATTTTGCTTCCTAAAAACTTATTTAAGCAATGGGGGATCCTTTTTCCACACATGTTTTGGTCTTATGCCAATTCTTGTTGCTACGCAGGTGGGAGCCACCCAAAACATGCATTGAAGTAGGGTCACCCTAAAACGAAAGGAAATTGTAAAAATTAAATCTTTTATATTTGATTAAAAATAAAAAATTGTTTAAAATGAAAAATCTATTCAAATGTAATTCTCCCATAAAAATAAAGTAATGCTTTTACTGTTCATAAAGTTAAATATCTAAATTTTAATATTTCAAAAATATTATTTTTGTATCCAAAACGTTTTAACCTTTTGCTTCTGGAACTATAAAACAAGTAGCAAAGGTAACAAGCAACTAAAGCTTTAATGTTTCTTCTGATCTACTATTTTCTAAAGGAGTTTGGTCCCAACTCAGAAAAAAGGACAGTTAGATTAAGCTCTTCTTTTTGCATAATCATGTTTAGTGGGTCGTTAAGCTTCAAAATATGTGGTCACCTAAGAAAATTTGCTGGCGGACTGGTGAGACATTTGTTGTGCCACTGAGCTGAATGTATGAGATGGCAACCAGGTTTCTTGGGATGCGAGGGTGCTTTGCTTTAGATTTTTCAATTGAAGCGTTAAGATATGATATAGCGCAACAACAGTGCGATGTTTCTGTTAAATGCTGTTCAATAGAGCTTGTGCTGCCTTTTGCCCTGTTTGAACTTATTTGATGTATTTGAAACTTAGTTTGGCTATTATTCTTATTAGTAAACCCAGACTGGTTGACCTTGCCCTTGATGTAGTTTGGTTCTTTGATTGGTCTGTTTGTGCTGTTGACATGGAAAAACCAGCATTGACTAGCTGGTTTTTGATACGTCCATGACCAATTAGGGTTTTTTTCTTTTTTGTCCTGAATGGCTGGGATGTGGACTTGCCAAAATGACTTTTAAATTAAAACTAGGCTAACTTTTTCGTATTAAATATGGGTTGTCTTGTTATTTAACTATTTTTTTTAAAGAAAAGGTGAAAGCTAAAAGGTTAAAACAATTTTTGTAAGCTTAGCTTATTTGTAATTTTTCTAATGATATGAATTTCTAATTCTTATTTCTTAAGTTGTTATTTGTAAAGTTATTCAAAATATTTTATTATCTTTTACATAATCTATAACTTTTTTTTTAAATATAATATTTAAAATATTTTATTAACTTACCAACATTTGATTTGAATGATTTGATTGTTGAACCATTGGCTTAATGATATGAAGCCTTGTATTGATTGTCCGGTCTGATTCTGATAAGTGTGGTTTTCTTTACTCAATTCTTGCTGTTTTATACGAAAATATGTTATGAACTAAACTGGCTTTGCCCATTTTGTTGATCTAGAAGCTATGTTACATGCGTTGTTTACTTTATCCTAATGTATTGCATTTTACACTTTAAATCTACATGGGATGGTGCTTAGATCCTCCAAATTAATATAAAACATTGCCAAAAACATGTCATACCTGTGTAAGAAACATGCACCTGTATTTGATGATCCTGAGGCAATGTAACAAAGTCTCAGAGTTCTTGATTTTAATGATTAATGTAAAGTTGTGTTGTTTTCCCCTTCTTTTATCCTTAAATGAACTCTGATGCATAGATTTTTTCTTCCCATGTTAGTTGACTGATCATTTTTAAACTTAATTGATATTTATGCAGCTTCTTGCGAATCAATTGGAGCCTCTAACTGAGCAACAGTTTATGGGTTTCCACAACTTGCAGCAGTCATCCCAACAGGCTGAAGATGCTTTGTCACAAGGGATGGAAGCATTGCAACAATCTTTGGCTGAGACGTTGGCCAATGGCTCACCTGGTCCCTCCGGATCATCTGGGAATGTGGCAAATTATATGGGTCAAATGGCCATGGCTATGGGAAAGCTAGGGACCCTTGAGGGGTTCGTTCGTCAGGTACTTTCCTTTTGGGTGCAATATGGCGTTGTTTCCAATGTGTTTTTCTATATGTTATGTGATTTGATTGTTGAGCCATTTCTTTGTCCTCTTTTCAAACAGCAGAATAACAGTTTTCTTGTGTGGATATCCCGTCTTAACATAATTAAATGTTTGTTTATAGTATGTCAAAATTTGATGTGAATGGTTGCAGCTGTACTTGGAATAAAAAGCAAGTTAATTTGAGTAATACTTACATATAATCTTCTTTGGTTCTAGATAGAATATGTCTGTTCTCATGATTGAAGAAGGAAATTGTGGTGCTTCCACATTTTACAGCATGTAAAAATTGACTATTGCAATATTTGTGAGCAGGATAATGTCATTTCCTTTTTTGTGTAAATGCAATTTTCTTTTGTATAACTGTATCTTAGGTTTCAAATTAAGTTATACTCTTATCAAGTAATTTTTCCTGGTTGGTAACCAGGCTGATAATCTTTTTTTTTGGTACATGCCAGGCTGATAATCTGCGTCAGCAAACACTGCAACAAATGCACCGTATCTTGACAACTAGGCAATCAGCTCGTGCCCTTCTTGCAATAAATGACTATTTTTCTAGGCTTCGAGCTCTCAGTTCTCTTTGGCTGGCCCGGCCACGCGAGTGAGAAGTAGATATATCCTGCCGTTTGAAGTTACTCTGAAGATTTGACTGTCCTTTGATCAAATTTTAATGGTGTTCTCCTGGAGCAATGCTATTGTTTCATGTGGGTAAATCGCTCTTCGTCGACTTTGACATCCTTGAAGGATGCAACTATGGTGCAACTTGGTCACTTCGTTGTATCTATAGGTACTCCTTTGACAGTTGTAACATCAGATATGTTCCCAAAGGTGTTGTATGCTCATTACTTATGTTGTTAAACAGCAGTGCAATAAACTGATAGCGTTGTTGCTAGAATTGAGAAAGGAAGATAGGGAGTGGTATATGTAACATAGGATAAAGCTGTCAATTTGTATACCGGGAATCAGATTAAAAAGCAGGGTGGTAATAGTTCTCTTTTAGGGTGTTATGACAACCGTTGGCTTGTATATATGTTAAACTTTCATTTGTAATGTAATTGATCCTATGTATTTCATAGATCGCACAGGATATTGGCTCTGCTGCAGTTTCAGGGACATGCTGGAATTAAACCTAGAAATCTTAATAGACTCAGTTATACGAGGCTTTTAACAAGTGCTTATGGTTCACCTCTACACCAGGAAATGGAAAGCAGAATGATACTTGTATGATGCGAGGCATAGGCTGAATGCATTTCTTTGTCTAGTGTAATGCCATTTCGTTCAACAGTCCAACGAAATGGTGCGACGTAAATTGAGTATTCGGTCAGTCTCCGTCGGACACCTTGGCATTTCTCAGTTGATAATTTATATGTTGACTGGAACTCAATCGATATTTAATTAGGCGGCAGTATTTGACCATACGCACACTTTTAACAACTAATTTGAACAAAGTCAAGAAATTATGAAAGACACAATGCACCTTATTATGATGAGCCCTCGTAGCATGTTTTTCTTTTCCCAATCATACTCATGTATTGTTTTTAGAGGTAGCAAGTGAACGAGTTTGGATTGGTTCCTCTTGAGTCTGGGTCACCACAGATTTTGGTTCTTTTCGATTCAGATCATTTCGCATTCGGATTAAAATAAAATTGATAATTAAATTTTATATTTTTAATGTTAAGTTTGGATTGTTTCGATTCAAGTTGTTTTAAATTCTGTTCTTTAACATATTTATCAATTCAAATTTGATCATATTTAAGTTCGAATTTTTTCAATAAATTTTTATGTTCGAATATATTTTACCACATTTAATTATATTTTATGAAAGTATTAATCATTAATACTTGTCCGAAAATCTTATCCATATGGTATCATGTGTCATTCTTATACATAAATTGTTGACCTATAAAAAATTAAAGTGTTTCCTTCATACGTAAGATGAAAAAGATGTTCAAATTTCATATTTTTCTTTATATTATTGAGATTTCATACTTAAGAATGAATACATTTTAGAAACTTAAATTTGATCTAAGAAAATTCAAAGACCACTATCCCATACACAAATAAAGGTTTACCTTTTTCTTTTCCCTTCATTTATTATGATTTTCCTTTCTTGTTTATTTTCTTAAAAAGGAATTTTTTGTCTATTCCTCCCCCTTTCTTATACTATTCTTTCCCGCCTTATTATGTCTTTGTTATTTGTTTATATTTTGGTCAAATTATGCAATTTGTTTTTATCCTCTGCCAAAGTGATGTTTTAATCTTTGTACAATAATTTATAAAAAATGAGTCTTTATTTTTCAAAATTACCAACGTCAATCCAATTTATGAATGGTGATAAAATTTTTTCATTATCCATGCTGACATGATATTTGATTGTATTGAAATGGCATATTTGTGCTAATGTGGTATTAAATCGGATGACAACCTTTGATCTTAGCTCTTTTCTTGATGCTTTTTGTTTCAACGGTTGTTACCTTTCTTCTTAGAGTCACCTTTGATTATTGTGATCGAAAAGTTTTTGCAATTAACACCATTGGCTTAACTCAAAATGCCATCCAGGTCATTGACAAGTGGGTCTTGTAGATTCTGTGGCAAGATTGTGTCCACCTAGCATCATGAAGTCTAAAGATCTTATTGGTGTCATACTAGCTCTCGCTTTTTAGGAGCTCTTTTTTTAGTTTAGCTATCTTTAATGAGTTTCACTATTTTGGTATTAATTTTTGATTTTGTGTTTGAATTTCAATGTGTTGAAGTTTGTTTTAATTGCCAAGATTTACTGTAAAATGACTTTGTAAAGGTTTATTTTTCCATGCTATTTGTCACGACCCAATCTCGAGCCATGATCAACACAAGGACCAAGAAGACAAATCCCTTTGACCCAAGCACACCTATACTCTGTACCATTAATATAGCACATCTATACTCTTACCATTACAAATCTATACATATGTGCATCAAAGTATCTTGGCTACAAAGTAAGAGTGTAAACACAAAGTTATATAACTAAACGTAGACTCATTAATAGAACCTAACAAGGCACAAGTAGGCTCCATGGTTGCTCGTTAGGCATTCCTATCAAATGTGACTCGAAGATCCTTCTTGAATGGCTATTTGAGCAAAGTCACGTATTTGAAAACCAAAAACATAAGATTTGAAAATGTGAGTATAACTTAGTGAGTGAATAATGAAAGGGAACAAGCTACATATGATTTGATTTACAATGCGATGCCTTTATTTTGAAACCATGTAATTTGTTTTCAAAGCCAAATCCCATTCAAATCATGAATGAACAATATGTTGTGCATGAATTAAGTGCCTTTATACATGTATGGAAACCCCTTTAGAAGTTGGGAGAAAGGAACCAACCAATGGCCCTTGAAAAGCACTCAAAGGGAGTGCACATTTCAATTTTGGTACGGAGGGATCAACCTTTCCTACCTTGGGGGTCGATCCTTAGCACACAAAACCACCTATCTTTAGGTTTTATCTTCCGGGGCTCAACCTTTCTTACTTTGGGGTTCGATCCCTGTTTGTCAGATAAACCACACAAGTGCACGTATTATAAACAAGTAATATAATGAAAGTAAAGTCCATTCCCATGGAGAATTGTCCAAATCTTTTTTGCTAATTACTATAATTAAAACAACTTAACCTTATGCAAACAACCAATTTTCAATGCTACTGAAAACTAAAGAAACTAAAATTATAATTATAATTAAAATCAAAAGTAACAATTTAACTTAAATCAATGAACCAAAAGTCTAGAATCGCAATATCCCCTCAATGTTTCATCTAAACATTTTCTATTCCCTCTTTACTTACTAGATAGGTTTGAGTCGTTAACTTATAGTTCTAATTTATTTATAAGTCTCTTCTGATGTTCTTACAAAAATATCTTCTTAATTAATTTACTGTATTCTTATGCAAATTGAAATCAAGAAAGACTTATTAAGCTTAAACTTTAATTATGGCTATATATGGCATGTAAGCGTATTCCTACCCTCGACATGAATTAAATCAATCATCTT